TATATATATATATATATATATATATATATATATATATTAGTTTAATGAGCAATATGCTATATATATTAATTTAATAAACAATATGCTATATATATGTTAATTAAAATAAACAATACGCTATATATATTAATTTAATAAACAATACGCTATATATATTAATCTAATAAACAATACGTTATATATATATATATGTATATTAATTTAATAAACAAATTTCAGGCAAAGAAACAAATGTTGATTAGACTGACCATAAAATTTTTAGCCTTCTTGAATTCAGGGCAACAAATTAACACTATTTATCTTACTCAGATCTTCCCCAAAGCACGTAACTGCTATAATTTCTAGCATCAGAAAATTTAATACATTTGATTACAATCCACATACTTGATTAATATGATAGTGATCTGTTCGGAACTAACTAATTAAAACATTTTTACTTTTACACGAGTGCTCACTGAGATCACTGGTCAGGCAAAATGTTTAAATTATCTTGAATGTTGACACTTATATTAACATATATTTACTCTCCTATGGATGATTATACTGTATAAATATCCCCTAACTCTTTTAACATGGCTATTTGTGATTTAAAATGTTGTTGGATAACATAAGGATCAACAATATGTTTTTTTACATTTCAGAAATACTGAAAGAAAAATTATTATAACACCTATCATTACCATATAAAAAACAGTGTTGTAAAAACTGTTGGGTATCTGCACAATCATCACATGTTCCTTAAACAGAGATGAATTTTTCTTTAACAAATTTGACTGTGGTTATGCACAAAACTATACAATATGCTATGTTTTACCTACAATAGGTATCGAAACCTGGTTTTTACCATTATAAGCCTAGAGACTTACCACTGTGCCACTGGGGGAGGGGGTTCAAAACAAAATTTAAACACATTTTTAGTCCATATAATATACTTTGGTTAAATTTAAATCTTCAAAAAAAAATTACTTTATGCAAGTAAAGTCCAGTTGAAGTAATAAAAAGCGAAAATATAGATTGTAAAAGCAATACACATGCATGCACACAATCGAGCACAGTTCCATTAAAAAACAAAAAAAATATTTTTTTACTATTAGACAGATTTCAACCAGATTCATAGTATCACATTTCAGTTGCACTTATATTTAAGTTCTGATCATTTCCTTAAAATAGAATAAATTTTTGAGAAATATTGTTTTCTAAACTGTTTGTCTTTTATGACAAACTACTTATATAAATATGCAGTAGTAGCATATTTTAGACATACGTAACATAGCATATCAAAGTCAAATCATTGTGTTCATTTATATGAGGAAACTGAAATACAAAAGCATAAATTTAATACTGAAAGAAACTTTTACAATGTTACTTCTTTCTCTTTTCATAGCATTACAAATGGAAAAGTTGAAATCATGAAAGTTTTGAGCAAGTATTCCAACACTGGGTTTGAATTTGACTGCTAGTGTGTTTAATGGTCTCAAATTTCTTCTGCAACAGACCCTAAAATTACATATTATGAGACAAGTTATTCCAAAAACATTTAACCTAAACAATCCTCACTGATTTCATTGTAGCCACAGCCTTTATCTCTTTTTCTTCTTTTTCCACTTGCTTAATGATTTCTGACACTAAAAGAAAATGAAAAATAATTTTTTTTTACTCTCATAGAAGTTATGGAATGTAAATAGCTTAATTTAAAAAACAAAAACGCCACTTTATAATTCCTGAAAATATTCGTTTTAATAGCCAAAACTCAAACTAACAGCTATTTCAGGGATGTGGGCTGTACTCAAGCCCATTCTCAACATAAATTACAAAAACAGTCAATATAAAGTTCAAAAGCCAATCAATTCTTTCAGAGCCAATTATTTTTCTTGGGGACAAGACCTAAATTAAATGTTTTGGCATAACTGCACTGATTTTGAAAGTAATTTATTAAGGAGTCATTCTGAAAAGATACCTCTGTTGATATAAATCACAACTATTTCATATTTCTGTTGTTTACCTGAAAAAAAAAAATCAAAGAAATATTGTTCAATAGTCTAATGTACTCTCAATTTTTCATGCATGCTCAGTTGCTTTAGTATTTGGTATCATCATGAACACTATTTTTTTGCTTTGCCCTCTGTTATAGCCAATTCCAACTCACTTTGCTTAAATTTATAAATTCGTTTTTTTGGTTCATGTTTCATTTCATTAAATTTTGTTAATACTGCAAGTGTTATCAGTGGTGGCAACCATTTTTTCTGTCTGTCTGTTTGACTCATTGCACACTATACAGTTGCTAAAGTAAGTTTCTCAGCCTTTTCTGTGTTTTCTTTTTCATGTATAACAATCATTTCACAGCTAAGAAAGAATTGTGTTTAAATCTACAAATGATTATCACAAATACAATAATTACACAGGTGTTATAATTGAGAAATATCTTATTTACAGTTAACACAAACCGTGTGGTCTGGTGTCATGACTAGCCTGGTTGGTCATGTTTATATGTTCTCTAAAGCAACTTAAATTTAACAAGATAGCCCTTCTTGTTTGACATTTTAAAGTAAACTTCTGTGTAAGACAAGGAAGTTTGTAATAAATATGCAAGACACCCAAGCTTTCCCCTGTAAATACTTATGTAAATCACTGGATAGGAGTTTTAGAAACAGTTCTGGACACACTTTTGGGGTTATTTACAGTCTAATCAAAAGTGAAAACACTAAATGTGTTTTAAATAAGTGGCAGTGTTAAAACTTCTAATTTCAGACACTAGTTTGTTAGTAGTGGGATACAGGATTAGATAACATAAGTTGATGATAAATGGGTTACTAAGATGACTAACCAAAGTTTACTGTAACTGTTAAGGTGGTTAAACTGGTTTAGATTGAATTCAACTTGGTAACAGGTCACTTTTTTTTTCTGACCAAGAAAAATTAACTTATTGACAGTTACACTTAACAGTTTCTAAGTACACATATTACTCAGATTTTACATCTTGTATCTATAATTTTATTATTTTGTTTACTTCTTTCTGCATTTGGGCTAAGGGTTCGACAATGGGGTAGGAAGGGAAGACTGTAGGGTCAGCTACTACATTGTGGAAGATGTAGTCCAAGAATCCAATGGCAACAAGCAATTTCATTAATAATGTGCAGAGAGTTGATTTTTTTGGCTAAGGGTTGGGCACTAGGGTAGGAAGATCATGGAGATAGCTCTTGCACTGTGGAAGATGTGGTCCGTGAATCCAATAACAGCAAGAAATTTCATTAATAATATGCAGAGAGTTTATTTTTTGGTTAAGGGTTGGACACTAGGGTAAGAAAATCATGGAGTCAGCACTTGCATTATTCACGGACCACATCTTCCACCCCAATAACAGCAAGAAATTTCATTAATTATATGCAGAGAGTTTATTTTTTGGTTAAGGGTTGGACACTATGGTAAGAAAATCATGGAGATAGCTCTTGCACTGTGGAAGATGTGGTCTGTGAATCCAATAACAGCAAGAAATTTCATTAATAATATGCAGAGAGTTTATTTTTTGGTTAAGGGTTGGACACTAGGGTAAGAAAATCATGGTGTCAGCTCTTGCATTATGGAAGATGTGGTCTGTGAATCCAATAACAGCAAGAAATTTCATGAATCATGATCAGACAGTTCATCTGCATGGTTGTTAATTCTTATATGGCCCTACCCCCAGAAATAGATGTGAATATATTGGAAAGCACCAACTTTATACGTGTACAACTGTTATTACAACATGGGACCTATTGGTCCATCTCAGCCCTTCCAACCTCTAAACTAAATTTAAATGATTAAGAAAAACAATAATAAAAAAATAAATAAAAAAATACCAAAATAAAAAAAAAAATCTTAAAGTCAGCCCTTGTCATTCATACATTTATCAAGCCTTTTCTTAAACTCACTTAAATTTACTGCCTCTACAACATTTGAAGGCAACCCATTCCAAAGGCCAACCACCCTGTCAGAAAAATAAAACTGTCTTAGCTGAAGATGCCTCCTACCTTACCAAATATATATTTGTGGCCCTTGGTCCTACTATTCTCACTGTTAAATATAAAAAAAGATGATGCACCAACACTATCAGTTCCCTTTACAATCTTAAACACCTCAATCAGATCCCCCCTAACTCTTCCTTTTTTCAAGAGAAAACAATTTGAGAGATTTCAACCTCTCCTTGTATGACAACCCCTCCATCCCAGGCACCATTCTAATAATCC